TTAAATTTTCTTAATAAAATAAATAACTCAAAATAATTCTTTTTTGTTGACAAATAAAAACTTTATGAAAAAATAAATAAAAGCAAAATATTTCATTGATTTTACTTTTTGCTTTGAAACAAAATTTTTTGGAAGAAAGCGGAAAACATCATTTCACGTTTATACCATTTCACGTTTATATCATTTCACACACACGCTTATATCATTTCACGTTTATATCATTTCGCATATATGTTTATATCATTTCACATACATGCTTATACCATTTTACGTTTATATCACTTCACATACACGCTTATATCATTTCACACATACGCTTATATCATTTCATGTTTATATCATTTCACACACACGCTTACATCACTTCACGTTTATACCATTTCACGTTTATATCATTTCACATACACGCTTATATCATTTCACGTTTATACCACCTCGCATACACGCGTATATCATTTTACGTTTATATCACTTTACACACACACACGTTTATATCATTTCATGTTTATATCATTTCACATACACGCTTATATCATTTCACATACGCGTTTGTATTATTTTACATATTCATTTTGCATTGTAATTGAATTTACTAGCAATTATTTATTAAAATTATTTCCATTTTAATTTATTTATGGATGAAAAGTATTAATAAATATGTCGTTATAGCAACACTTGATTAATAATCAGAAGTCTTAATTATTAAATGAAAAATTGATTGTTAAAGCATAAAAGGAAATTTTTGTGATAAGAAAAAGGAAATGATATGGAGAGTAAAAGCAGAAAAAAAGATAAGATTGTGATAATGTTGAACAAAAAGTGTAATAGTAAATTAGAAGCACAAAAAATAAAGTCTTAATTAATCATTTTATTAATGACAATAACAGTAATTATAACTGACTAAAATTAACATTCAAACTGAAAATATATTAGGTATAAATTTTTTCTTTGTAAAATTTAGAAAATTTTGGCCTAAAATCAATTTGCATATTGAAAATATATGGGTGAATATATTTTGAGTTTTGTTCACTTTTGAGTTCGAAATTTCTTCTTTTCTTTTTGTTGAAAAATCGTTGCTAACATATTTTCACTCAAAAAACTGATTTTAAAATAAAATTTATAAATTTCGTCAAAAAAATCTGTGCCCATTATATTTTGCAATTTAACAATTATTCTCAGCGAAATTCAAAAATTTTATAAAATCGAAAATGAATAAAAAGGGAGGAAAATAGGAAATGATAAAGAGTGTGAAAAACAGAAATCATAGATATTTATTTATTATCAGCGAAACCTTTTTTTGATATCGTAAATAATAAAAACTTTTTTTGCGCTTCGTATCACATCAATGTCTTTCTTCTTTTGTTTTACTTTCTTAATTTTAATGAAATTTTATTACAAATCTTTTTAAACTTATCACACTGATTTGATTTTTAAAAATGAATTTGAAGTTTAACAAACAGTTTTCTTCTTACCTATCAATAAAATTAAATGCCAGTCCAGTATTAAATCACATATTTCTTTATTAATTAATAAGAAAGATATTTTTCTATTTTTTTAAAATTTAGATAACATTCAATGAGAAATATATTGCAATAATAAAGTTATTATAACTTTAATTATTAAATTTTATTAAATTGCAATTAATTATTAAATTACAATTAACTCTAAACCCAAAATTATTAAATTACAATTAAGCCTAAATCTGCAAATCGGTAATGATTTAAAACCATAAGGGTTGTTGTTTTAACTTTTTCTAAAATTTAATTTCAATTGGAAATTGCTTAATAAATAATTTTTTTTCAGGACAGGTAAATAATATTTTCTAAACGATCACTTAGGTACAGTAATCACCTGTATTTTTCATTATACTACTAAATTATACTACTAAATTGCATAATTTCAGGAAAAACATACAAACAGACAATATACATTCTTTTCTTCGAAGAATTAAATAAGAAATTTAAATAAAATAACTAAATAAAAAAAGGAAAAACAAAGAGTATCAATTATGTAATAAAACAAAAGCGAAAGAAACGATTGAATAAAATTTAATTTATTTTTCAAATTTAAAAAATACATCAATCAAATTAATCATTTAAATGCATTATTTATCATTAAAATATATTATTAAGGTTTTTAGAATAGTTTCGTTCTATCTGAATGACACTTATAGTTTGTCGGAACAATTTTAGTAAAAAAGAAATTTTCTCACCAAATAATCAAATTAAATGTAAGAATGGATTTATTTAAGCCTAAAATGAAAAGATGAAAAATTCGCAAATAAATATTTTAACAAAAATAAAGTAAAAAATAGGAATAAATGTAATTTAGAAAATAGGGAAACCTGTAATTGACGAACAACGAATATTTTCCGTGTTGTAATCATTAAATAATAGTGACAGTGGTGACAGAGCATAAGCAATTGCCATGGCTACCAATTGGCTACCAATATTGCGCTATTATCAACCAAATTATACTGACCGGTTGAAAAAGAAAGGAATGGAGTAAGAGAGAGAGAGAGAGAGAGAGAGAGAGTTTGTTGAAAACGATAAAATGAAAAAAACGAGAAAAAGATCGATTTGATTTAAATAAAGCAAAGCAATTTCCGAAATAATACTATTCACTAATACTTTTAAATTAAAAATTTCAATATTTAAAATTGAAATTTCTATTTTGAAATTAAATAAAATAATATTTAAACATAATTGAAATTTCTATTTTAAAATTAAGTAAAACAATATACTTTATGAGAGTTAACAATAGAAGTGTGATAATAATAACTCTTTTCTGTTATTTTCACTATAATTATATGTTAATTTCAAGAAAAATAATTATAATAATAAGTATACAATTACTTTTTCCTTTTACTATAAATATATTTAATATAATTTTAGATTATATATTACTTATTAAAAAGATATGAAAAAATAATTTTTTTTGTTTACCTAATTTCTAAGTACTTCAAATTAAGTTTCATTATGATAACAGTTGAAATGAACTGATTTCTAATAAGAAGAAATGATAAAGCAACAATCTTTTCAGATAACAAACTCCAAATAATCATTATCAGCTTATCATTTTAATGGCTATTATCATTCATTTCGTGTTTTATATTTATATATCTCTACCTAACAGTCAAATTTTCATTAATTAAATTTCTTCAAATGTTTAATTCATAAATCTTTTTTTTCTATCACATTTGTCATTAGTGAAATTTCTTTAAATGTTTAACTATTAGCATTATAGCGGCGGATATAAGCACTTCTTCATAGACAAATTGATTAATGATTGCAAGTTTGAAGCACTTCATTATTAAGTCAATCGATATTTTATTGCTATCATTATTATCATTTTCGCATCGAATATGTATCATTTACATAGCTTAACTATTGCTTTAAAACAGACTTCCGAAGCTTCACTATCTGAAATTTTAAACGGAATAATTTTATTTTCTTAATCAGATTATTTTCCTAATATATGTCAAAAAAGATTCCAGTAAGGATTAACCAATGTTGTTACCTGTTCGTTCCTTCGTTCCTATTACCTGTAGAACTTTATACTATCAACTTTCTCCAATTTTTGATATTCGAAATATTACCTTCAAAATTCTTACCTTATCAGCACTAAAATATTTCATTTTTATTTTCAATTTTCAACTTTTTTTCAAATATTTCAACCTTTCTTTTCTTTTTTGCATATATTCAATAACTAACTTTCTTCATTGTAATATTTATATCTCTGAAAAGCAACAACTTGTATTATTATTATTATTTATCATTAGTATGCAAATATTTAAACAAACTATCGGAGATAATCAATGATCTATTGATATATTATTATATAACCATAGTACAGTATAATACAACTGGTTCCTGTCTTCAATTAATGAATATTTTTTAATTGCTCCCTAAACAAAATATTCCTATCTTCGATTCCTAATCCCTTCATTTATCTCTTTATTTATTTCAACTCCATCTTACATTTCCTTCTTTTCTTCAGCTTCGCTAATAACAATCCCTTTTTTTTGTCGCTATGTTCTATGATACTTTGCAGGTGTCAACTTCTTTTTCAATCAATAATTCAGTTTAATCTGTTATAGACACTTTTATTTTCAGCATTAGTTTTAATTGAATTATGCTAAAAATCTCCTAGAAAATACGCAATATTCTTTATGATTTATACTTTTACCTAATTTATTTCTTAATTATATTTCATTTCAATTCGCTACTACTAATTGTTTGAAATTACAAATTATTCATAGAATAATTGATCATTTCTTGTCGATTAATTGATTTCACTTTTATCCATAATATTTGAGTCAATAATTTCAATAGCATTACAAAACAGTAATTTCAATAGTAATTACAAATAATAGAGAGATAAAGGGAAAGAGAGAGAATTACCTACTGGCAATCTAATTCGTCACTCTTACCTGCCATGAAAAATATCAGTGTTATTGTATAATATAATCGAAGACGATAATTACAATAAGATTGCTAGGTTCATCAGTTCACGAATAATTCTTGGCTTATTCTATCATATAATCTCTCCGTATCATTATTATAACAAAATAGCATGTTTGTTAATTTGTTCTTATTTTTCATTATAACAATTCAATTGATCCTTTTCATTATAGTTAAAATTCAAAAGATTTATCGAATCACTAATACTTTTAACTTTTAAGATATTTTTCATTGTAATTGCTAAAAATCATTCATTCAATCAATCAATGAATCAAACGATCAATCAATCAATTTTTCCTATTTCATTTCAAATTACAGAAATAATTCAATTGCTCTTATAATTTTTTCATTCTTATTTACATTATTCTCTCTATTTTATTCATTATTATCAACCTGCTATCAGTACACTGTCTTATTATTATTGTTAAATGTTAATAATAATAGTATTATCATTATTTGCCAACTTTATATCACTAATATTATTATCATTATTAATAATAATAATTCCATTATTATTGTAAATTATACATCAGCAAATTATTTTTCTATGCTCATATTTACGCTATTTTCCACTTCTTTATTGCGACATTCACTTGCTTTTCCATTTTTGCGATGCCAACAGAGCGATTGATTTATTGCTTGCGATTGCTCATAAGGTGGAACGAAATCAAGCAAAAGACGTAATTTACGATTGGAAAATCCTACTGTCCAACCTGAAATATTTCCTTCATTCAATTATATCTTTGATAAGTTTCTAAAAACAACTAAAGTGATAAAAAATTTTATATGAATAAAAGCATAAAGAGGAAAAGGAATGATCCAATTGATCTTTAGATAATTTGATCAATCGATATTATTACTTATACTAATAATATTTTAAATTATCTGTCACAGATTAAAAAAATGTTATTTTTTCAATTAATTTAATCACTTCTCTTATTAGTTTTACTTTTTCAAATTATCCATTTCAAAAAAACATTTTTTTAACTTACAATTAATAAATTTATTCGCCAATAATGTCAAATGACCAATAGCTTTTTTTGGAGCAAATCGATTTAAAATTTCATAAAATACGGCTGTTAAATGTGTTTGTAAATAGCTTAGTGCACCTATGCGTTCCAAACCATTCGCTTCCAAAAATGGTTCCATAAACTATAAAATAGATATTTATTCTTATATGAAATCTGAATAATTAGAGTTAATAATTTAAAAGATTGCAAAGAACAAAGAATGAAATGATAATTAAATGAGTAACTATTCATATCTAATCTCTTTGAAGTAAAAGAGTTGCAAAATCTATGTTGGAAAATAACCGATGACAATAATCCTTTCTCAATTTACAATAAAAAACATTAACTGATAACAGCTGATTAAATTGCAGTAGAAAAATAATTTATAATAATTCTCCCATAACCCATTATAGAAGATAACTGATCACAATAATTCCCTCTTAACTTACATCAACAAGTCGTATACACGGTGTACAATCCATACATATTACAATCTCACCGTTATACCGTTCCGGATTTTCCTTCAAGTATACCATTCCTCGTTTCATTATCGCTGCCATATTACCCGCATAAAGCTGTAAATTGTGTAATTTTTCAATAATCCAAATAAAATCTTTTGTGAATTGTAAATCATTTCAAGAATTTATTGTAAAAGATAACTGATAACAATAATTTCCTCTTAACTTACGTCAACAAAATAATTCATCATTATTTCATTTCAGTTTTCTCTTAGATACTCGATTATATAAAATTACAAATCAGAATAAGTACCAAACATATATATTAGAATGAGTACCAAATACATAAAACATATATAAATAATCGCGGATAAACAAAGACATGTAATTAGCGTTGAAAATAAAAAAACGTTGTAAATAATATGAAATAAAAAAACTGACGAACTGATGAAGCCCTCTATTTTCATCCTTTAAATATGGAATACCACCATATATCGAACATAATCTAAGCGCTGAACCCAATAAATGCTTCTCTCCTTCACCATAGATAATTGTGGGACGTAAGATCAATGCATTTATTTCACCTTAACGAGCCTTAACAATTAATTTATTAAGTTTAATTTAACTTTATCCAACTAAATATTATAATGTTTACGTTAAGAATTAAACAACATCATTATGATACAATAAAAACTAACACATTACCACGATCAGGTCGTAAATGTTGTAATTTCGAAAGTTTTTATTGATTTATTATAATCAAATTCTTTCATTATAAGTTTCTCAATATAATCGCATAACTCACCAGTAAAAAATTTTTTTTACCGGTAGCTCTCAGAAGCGTAATTTAATTTCATATGTTATCTCATTTCAATTATCAAGTATTATACCCTTAGCAGCAACTTTTCGAACACACATTTCTGCTCGTGTTTTTGATTGTCCGTACATTCCAAGCATGAAACTACTCGGAATACCAAGATGTACTTGCTCCGATAAGCCATAATTGTTACCCGATGGTAAACTTGAATAGGCATCACTTACGTAAACCAAACGTGGAATTTTTTCTTCATGCATAACATTTAATAAAATTTCCGTTGCTGAATTATTAATTTCATTTAAATTCAAAATTTCAGCAAAACAAAAAATCTATGAAATTTCATTTAATTTTTAATTTTGAATTATTCAATTAAATTTTTTTATTAAAATCTTAATTTTATGCTAAAATAGAAAAATTACCTTAACTTTATTTATGTTAAATAAATAATATAAAATGTTTAATATAACAAAATTTAAAAAAAAAAAAATTCTTTAATAAATTTTTTCAATTTATCTCAAATATTTCTCAATAGAAATTAAAATTAAATGAGGAAAAAACAATAGTACCATTGGTATTGTCATACCAATATTGATCAGTATGATTAGTACCATCGTGTAAATATTCAAATGATTTACCAGAACAGTGGAATACGGTTGTTACAGAATTAAGAGCTTTCTTAAGCGTATTTTCATCACAAATATCAAGTTGATGATGTTTTAAAGGGATGCTTACTGGATAATCTGTAAATTAAAAACATGAAGTGTTCATAAATTTCGCTGATAATTTTTGTTATATTTTTATTTTTATTCATTCCCTTTTATTAATTGCATTTTTCAATATTTTATGTATTCAAATTTCATTAAATTTAGTTTTACAATTATTTATTACTATTATTATTAATTATTATTATCTATAAAAGCAAAAATTTTGATAAAAATATGTTTAATTATTATTTACTTTATGAAATGTATCAATAATACGAAGAAAGTTTTTTCAAAACAAATGAAAGTTTATGTATTTTATTGAGAGCAAAGAAAATGTTATCAATTGAAAATTTTCAAGAAATGTTCTTTTGTATGTAAAAAGAAAGAAAAGCTAAAAGCCACTGATTTTTATTGGATATTGACAGTTCGCAATATCAGACAAGCAATCTTCTCTTCAAATATATTTGCAATTTTCAACAGATTTTTTTTCAAGTTAATATCAGATCATAAAGGAAAGAGAAATGGATTTTTCTCAATAAAAAAATGAATTCAGATATAATAATATGGAGAATTTAAGATTTAAAATCCTGATAAAATATAAAAGTCTGAAATATCATTTCGTTTATTAATCAGATGGGAAAAAGCGAAAAAAGAATTGATAGAAATGAAATTCGACGAGAAATACCGGGTATTAGTAAAACTATAACTTTTTCCTCCTGGAAAACAATGAATCTCCTTATCAATAAGATATTTCAAAAATTCGATTTTTATCGATGTTTCAATAAAAAAGACAATCTGTTGATCAATCTATTTAATAAAATAAATAATAATTAAACATGTTTTGACTTTTTTAAACTAAATACTGGATGATATAGGAAGGAGGAACCAAACAAAAAGCAGAAAGTAAGTGAATCTAAAATAAAAATTTTAGATTTTGGATTCTGATATGATGAAGAAATTTGAAATGTCTTTCAAAAATTAGGAAAAGTTAGTAAAAAAAATGTTCATTCGCATTAATTATTAATTTTTCACACAACCTCGTTTATTTTGGGTAAAATTTCCGAATTATAGAATTTTACCTAAAATAAACCAAAAAAGGACCCATTTCAAAATTTATTATATCTCGGTTTAATAGCAACTTTGTGAATAAATCATAATAAATTCTAACATTTTGTTCTTACTTTCCTTAGCATATCAATAGCATATGTGAACACTGTGCCGTTGTTTTTATTATAACTAAAATTTTCATAATATTTAAATTTCATTATAACTGAATTAAATTTATATGTAAAAACCCCATCGAAAATTAATAATTGAAAATTACAATTATTGATTGATTACTCAACAGAAAATTTGTAATTTAAAGTCTAATATTAGTTAAGCGCAGAAAATCCATTCCATGCCACTTTTATCATTCATTCTTCGATATAATATATCGAAAATTCAACAATGAAGTATATCGCTTGAGAGCTACTCAAAAACTTACAAGGTTGGACACATAAATAGTTCAAAATAATGAATCAATAGGCTCAAAATGTTTATTATAACATTTCTTGAAAAAAATTCAAAAAGAAATATCGATAAAATATTATTATTATTATTATTATTATTATTATTATTATTATAGTAAAATCAATTAACAACTAAATAACATTCAATGAAAATTCATTTCCGCTAAATAAACTCAAATTTTTAAAAAAAATTGAAGTACCGAGAAATTTGCTGAATAGTTTCCTATCAATGGTTCGAATCTCGACAATAGTTACTTCTCGGTGATTTGTCTGCTGTAAATATGAAATGAGATGTTGAGCAAGAAATCCGCTACCACCCGTTATGGCAACAACTTCTTCAGCCATTGTCCTGCTAGTGCACTCTTCATTTTAACAAATTCTTTCTGCTACTTAAATGGATGAATTACTCCTACCGGCCTTCTCTACAAATTCCCTTTCTCTTTCCTATCCCCCGCCTTCCTTATTTCATATGAATTCGCTCAAACTCTTTCCAAACATATCAACACTTCAACTTTCCTTATCATTTTAATGATCGAATAGAAAATATACCTTTCATGTTATATGAAATAATTAACAATTTAAATATTAAATTCAAAAAACTGTTCCATCACATTTATCAATTACGTGATACAATCCACCAACACCCAAATATGCGCATGAATTGTGCAAGAGATTGCGTATCAGTGAAGTGGAAAAGTAAATATTTCGTGCTATTGCATTTCATAAACTTATTAATTACATGCACTTAATTATATATGTAAATAAAAAATAGCTGTAAATTTCATCAAGATTCCTCATATTTACAATAATTTGTAAGAGGAAGGCAGAAATCCGAGATTAAATCAAAGAATTTTAAAAGCATTCCGAACGACTTTACGGATTCTGAAATTCTTCAGCCATAATTGATGATCTTAAGCGAATCTTCCACCTCTATAATCATTCCGTTCTCAACTTTTGCTACTTTTCTCAACAAGATAAATCTAGCAAATAAACGTTAATATTATAATTAAAGTTCACTTCTGAAATCAATAAATTTTAATTCAAATCTAAATTTAAGCCACTCGAATTAAAAAAACGAATTAAGTGCAAGAAAGATAGTGATAAGAGAGCAAATGAAATATAGTGAAAAAAACAAAATAGTGAAATTTACTTGAAAATTAAAAATTTTATAATTATAAATAACAATATAGTTCAAATTTACATGTCACCTGACACGTATCAGTATCACTTTTCACGTCAAATTTATCATTAAATGTTTATGCTAATCAAATCACTCCTGATGATTTTCTTCCTTTTTTCTTCACAACCTTAGATTTTTTCAATAAGTCTGCTGCATAATCTTGAAAACAACCTTGGAACCACCATTTTTTGATATCCGGAATTATATGAGGTCTAGCTGTGTCACGATGAAGATATTTGCATAGTTCACAGTAAGTGCTTACATCGAATGTTTTCTGATATTGTTTTGTCCATTCCAAATAACTGAAGAAATAGAAAGGAAAAACAAACAAGCAAACAAACTTATTAGTTAATTAAAACAAAGCAATGGTAATTAGGTGAATCAATTAAGAAAATAAATCAGCAATGCTATACTTCATAAGAAATAATCAATAGCGCTATTATAATCAATGTTTTTGGGTATTCTCCGATATTCCTTATCGCTTAATTAATGATCTAAGATTTCATTCTTAAAAATCACTATTATATTATATTGATATTTCAAATAAGCTGCTGAAAATTACTATTATGTCGCATTGATACCTTAAATAGGCCGTCTTATTATTTGATAAATATTTCAAATAATCTGCTAATTCACGTGGAGATGTGAAATCATCAGCAGCAATAAATGATCCAGGCGGTAAAACACCTTCATAGATGGATTTTTTTAGCACCACTGGTACCATTAATCTGAGCAGACATTTGTATAGTTTCTCCGTGATATAATCACGACATATGCTATTCTCGAATGCCAAATAGAAACGATGTCGTGCTGTAATTTATAATAGAATGAAAAAGTGAAAGATTGATGAGTAATAAAAAGAAATTAAATTAAAAAATTAAAACGGATAAATGTACCAGCTTCATGTACTTCACATTCTTCATCACAAGTACGATTGTTGCATCGTCCGTATTGCGTGATATTTATATATGTTCGAAGTTGATTCACGTATAATTCACGTTTCGAACTAGTTTGACAATTTGAAACTAATTGTAAGACAGGCTGTACTTTCCTACTGGCTATCTCCATTACCTTTCAAAACAAGAACAAAAATGATAATTCTTTTCTTGCTTAATTCAAAGAAATTTTTGAGAAATTTTATGCAAAACATTTTAGTGTTCTAATGTCTTGTTCCGAAATAGAATGAGTCAGATAGTTTAACCGGTTAAAAGCAGAAAGCGATTTCAGGAAGACGGATACCGATGCCGCATTCATCTATCCAGTAAAGAATGGCAGCATAGTTTTTGATATTTCAAGTATCATAGTTTAAATCATTTTGTCATATCAAAAAAAAGGGAGGCAACATACTTCATCCCAATTCCAAATTTGTTCACGCTGTGTGAGATTACTTATCTTCTTCATCATACCGTATGGTATATAAATATCACTATCATGTCTATAAAATTATTGGTTAAAAAGATTGGTAATTGAAGGATTGTAATTAATATCAGAATTAGTTCTCGAAATTAACTTTATTAAAATGTTTCATTGAATTAATATCAATTTTTTTTTATTTTGATTTCCTAAAAATTTTAAAATAAATTCTAAAAAATTAGAATTGAAGCATCTGCATTTCAACTAAAGTTGAATTGGATCCAGAAAATCTGCTTTTCGGCCCTAAAAAAGAATTTCAACTAAGAACAGTTTCAATCAAATAAGTTTAATTTAAAATAATATGAAAACCTGTAGGTCATCGTTATGTTGAAATAATCATCTGCTACATAATTCAAATAATTAAACGTATACTGGGGTGATTCTTGTAGCACAAATACAAACAATTGTTTCGAATTCCTTAGTTCAGGTAATATGTCAATATCTCGAATGTGGAATAATACAGCTTCAGCTTCCGAGAATTGCCTGAAATAATCAGATCACTTTATCATCCTATCATCACTAAGGAATACCTATAATCGGTATTCTGCGTAATTCATTTGATGCCTGTCAAATCTTTATCTAATTAAACTATCTGCTCCCAACAATCAATCAATCAATCAATATATATATATATATGGTGAATATATATATGTTTGAAATTCCGAAGAATATCTTCCGTTACGTTTTATATCATTTAGCAGTGAATTCTTTTTTTAAAGTGAACTGTTAAATATTCCATAATTGACTTTTAACATTTCTTTTTGCATAAAAAGAAAATTCAAATCATAGAATGAACATATAAGAATTTCTGGTAGCTTTTATTCATCACATACCGTGATATCTCAGGTATTCGGGTAAACAAATATATCCCAGACATACATGTAAATGACGAAAATAGTAAGTACTAAGAAGAAAAAATTTTATCCTTTATAAAATAGCACTATGAAATATTATCAGTTATTGAAACTAACAAAAAAGGTAGTATGAAATCTACTTACTCTTTATTATCAGTAATTATACAATGATAAGCACATTCGTTAAGATCTTGATTAATACGTTGAGCCCAGGGATGACTGAAAAATTTTGTCCACGTAAGTATCAGTGGTGGTTGCAACGATGTACGATACTGAAATAATTGATACTTTAAAATTAATAGACATAAAAATGAAATTATAGTATGAAATTCAAATTTAATGATGACATAATTTATGTGATATGGGAATATATGCAAAATTGATAAAATTGTAATCATTTCATTAACTTTAATTTTTTTTATTCTTTTTTAAATTTAATGAAAAGAAGAAAAGTCTAATCGAAAATTGAAATTGAAATTGAAATAAAACTTACTAATTGTGTTGCATAAAAAATTCGTTCTAAAATCAATGTTTGATTTAAAATTCTCCATCGTACACATAGAAATACATAAGTGATGAAAATAATAAATACAATGAGAAGACCGAGGCATATTTTTAACACTGGCAATTTTTTCATCCTTCTACAACTGATAACATCAATCAATTAACTAACATTTATTGTAAAACCAATACATTCAGTAAAATCATAGGCAAAAAAGATATTTGTAGTTTCTTTTAAAAAAAAAATTAAAAGTTAGTTTTAAATGAAATTCTTGGAGTAAAATACGACGCAAGCTAAAACAACGAAATATTAATTTTTAACGATAAAATAGACCTTTATTATTGATCATATCAGCAATGATAAGTAAAAGCTATTATTATTTCAATGAATTATGTATCCGGTTAAATTAAAACTACAATGTTATCATTTACACTAATTTACACTATCAATGCGTTCAATTTGGTTAAATATATTATAGTTATCTTTTCATCATTCTTAATCAATAATACTTTTATTGCTTATCAGTGAACGCATTCTTATATTCTTAACTTCTATCAAATATTAGAATCGTTATAGATCTCTAAGCGCTTTTTAAATTTCTGATATAACTCATATCATTTAACTATAACTTTTCCATATTTCACTAAGCTAATTAATTTTTATGAAAGATTGAGGAAGAAAAGTCATTGCAATAATAAAAGGAAGAAAAACTAATTCAACAAAAGCCATTATGTAAATTTTAAAATTCCCCTTCCTTCAACAAATTCATAATTTGCATATTCTTTATAACAAAGAAAAAAATTAAAAGAAATTTTAAGGATGAGGATATTTGCATTCCAAGCTTGTTGAATAAAACATTTGTTACATGCGCCTCTTATCCTCATAACAATTTTGTGTTATATGAAATAATTCCAAACCGTATCCAAACTGTATAAATTAAATGATGCGCCTAATCATTGAAATAATTTAAAGCGTTCAAAGATATATGTTTGATTGGGAAAAATGAACAATAAAAAACGTGTTGCTGTAATGGTATATTAATTTTTGCAAGTAAAAAAAAATGGTATCAAAAAATGATGTTAAGGTCATTAGAGGTCAATTTTTTGATCACTACTACATTTTCTAGAAGTTTAATGCAATCATATCAGTTTACTTACTGCTTGATTAAATTGCTTATTTCGAGTGTAATTTAATTAAGCAGAAATTAAAACATATATGAAATGAAAAACTGATAAAAAAATCTTCTAACTAAGTCAAATTTTCATAATAATTCAAATGAATGAGTGCATATAATTCCTAAGATGACCTCTACGCTTGCATCTAATCGATATAAATAGCAATTAGATGAAAGCGTTCATTAATAAATTGAATGATTTGCATGCGAGAAAATAGGAATGAACTTTTGGTCATTGCATTAATGACCTCTTATTACCAATAACATTTATCGTTCATGATTTTTCATTATATTAAATCATTGTATTTTCAATATTTCCATACGCATCTTCAATGAAAATTAAAAAAATAGAATTTCATTTAATTTTCATTAAAATTAATTAAATCCAAAGCAAAAAAGATGATTTTCAATTCCAAAATTTCCACCAAAAAGGTAACTAATTTATTTACAAATCGCAATATCGAAATTGTCAGCAATTGAAATTAATTGAATTAATTAATTTAGAATAGGCCATAATATTTCATTCACTATTTCTACTTTATAATCCATATAAGCTATAAATTATATTGATAATCAGTAATCAATCAATAAATTATAATCTTTAGTGATCACAATAGATTTCATTGCTTTTGTCATCGTTATTGTTGGAAAAAACAAAAATAAAAAGAAAAAGAGTTTGATAGAAATAATTTTGTAAAGTAACAATTGATAGAAATAAAAAGAAATTGATAGAAATAATTTTGTAAAGTCAAAATTAAATCCTAAAATTTCATACTAACTCCTCGCATACATTTTATAATTCATTCAAAATAATTTGCGGCAATTAATTTTTCAAATTTCTTTGCAGCATAACTTACACTTACGAATACACACGTAAACACGCATTACTCACACTTATACGTATAGACGTAAACACGCACTACTTACAGCTATAACACATACACACGTAAACACGCATTACTTACACAAACACACAAAATAATATTTCACGCAAACGCTATAAGCAGAAAGGATAAAATGAAATTTCAACAAAATATATGCAAAATAATAGTGACTTCCATTAAGCATAATGAAAGTAAAAATAGAACAAAAAAAAGGGAGAGAGAGAGAGAGAGAAAGAGAGAAAAATCATCGTTTCACATTCCATTCATTTTCATTTCTAATAGAAATGTAAAGTTTGATAGCTATTTTTGCTAAAAGCATCATTTGAATTACATAAATACTTTTAATTCATTTGAAAAAGAAAAAGCGAAGCATAGAAATTATCAGAGAGAATATGAAAATATTAAAATTAGTGAGAATTCTTTTGTTTCATTTTAAAATTAATTATTCATTTAAATTTAATTATTTCATAAACCATAATTTTTCATTTGATCATTTTTGCATAATCAATAATTATTTATAATTATAAAAGAGAGAAATTCATTGATAGTTTTATTGTCAATTGTTTTATCGATCAATTTCGGTTCATTCCAACAAAATATGGTTTTTCTATTTATTTTTAAAAGAAAAAATGAAATTTCATTTTATTTCGATTTCGATTTGTTTTAATTTTTTTTTTGTGATTTTTATAGCTTTCGAAATTTTTGTTAGAAAATTTTTAAAAAAATAAAGTGCAAAAGAAATCGATAATTTCTTCAATGTTTCACAATGAAATGAAAAGATTTAAAATGTATGTAATACATAGGATTATAGTAAAAACAATTCCATAATTTGTGTTGCTCAAATTGTTTCTGATTCATAGGTCATCCACAAAATATAAAATGCTACGGTGCATTTGAATC